CGATTCCGGTGAAGGGCACATGCCTTGGTTGTGGGCTTGATGCCCAGTGGGGGGCGTGCAGGAGGCAGCTGACCAATGATTCTCTCTCATCATTAATGTTTCTATCTCTCTCTGTCAACCTTCCTCTCTGAAATCAATAAAGAAATATATTTTAAAAAATAAAATAAAGGAAAAATTATCCAAGTTGATAGAAATAATACTAACCTCATTTTAGTATTTATGGTGATTGTCTTTACAGAAGTAAAAGATCCATAAACCTTTTATCAAGTGCTCTCTCACTTTGTTGAGTTACTACCTTAAGAATATAAAAGATGTTCTCTTTTTTAGGCCTTGTACCTGATAGCAACTAATGGAACTCCAGAACTTCAGAACCCAGAGAAACTTTCCCCAATATTTCGGGATTTCTTAAATCGATGTTTGGAGATGGATGTGGAGAAAAGGGGGTCAGCCAAAGAATTGTTACAGGTGAATTTGGAAATGATAATATTTTTGGAAAAAGTTGGCTTTTTTGAGTAACAAATAGAAAGTTTACATAGGTCTGTTATTTCACTGCTCATTCATCACTAGAAGTATGGCAGCTGCCGCAGTTTAAGATTTTATTTGCTGGAAATAAAATGTCTATCTATAATTATAAAAGCGTAATATGCAAATCAGCCAAATGACAGAATAGCAGAACAACTGTCCAGACCTTCCAGACTACCATGCTATGACATGCACTGGTGCCAGGTCAGCCAAGGTGGGTGCGATGCAATTGGTTGGGAGGTCCCACCATTGCCCCACCATTGCCCCGTAGAGGGAGGCCCAGGCCACCCAGCTGGTGGCACTATGTCGGGTGGGTGGGGCCTCCCTCTGCTGGGTGATCGACCACCCTCTGCTGGGTGATCGATCTCGCCCCATAGAGGGAGGCCAGGCCACCAGCCAGCGATGCTGTGGCCAGTGTGCGGGGCCAGCCAAGTGATCGCACCGCATGGCTGTCACCCACAGAGGGAGGTGACCGGTGGCAGGGGAGGGGGGACAGTGCCACACAGATGGCAAACAGTGGCAGCGGTGGGGGCAGGGCCAGCTGCTAGCTGCCTGGGGAAGGAAAGTCCAATAGGCCCTGATCACTGGCCAGGCCTAGGGACCCTACCCGAGGGGTCCCGGATTGTGAGAGGGAGAGGGTACAGGCTGGGCTGAGGGACACCACCACCACCACCACCACCACGCCCTCCATGCATGAATTTCATTCACCGGGCCTCTAGTTATAATAAGCATATGAGTTTTTGCATGTTATTAATTTTCAGGCCAGTTCTTTGCTAGCATGAGTATCTGGGACATTTAACTGAGATTTTATAATATTAGAAAAACTAAAAAGACTATGCTTTCAACTATAAAAGCAATGTATTGGTTATGCTGATTTTATGCAGGGATGAAATATGTGTTTATTAAATAAATTGTGGTCCATTAAAATCTTTGAGTCTTTAATTGAAAGGAAATATTTAGCTTCTAAACTGGTGACATTTATACTTTTTTTTTCTCCCCTCTTTCTGGCAGCATCCCTTCCTGAAACTGGCCAAACCATTATCTAGTTTGACACCACTGATTATGGCAGCTAAAGAAGCAATGAAGAGTAATCGTTAACATCATTGCCATGGCCTCATATTCTTTTTCCATTTTCTAAAAGAAGTCTTTTAATATATGAAAATTATTACTCTTTGGGGTTTAAGGAAATGGCCTGCATAACATGGAGGAAAAAAGCAAACTACTACTTCCTGAAGACAACCAAGAGAAAATTACAAAACAGAATGACAACTTTCTATTGAATCCCTTCTTTAGGGTCCAAAAGGAATTGTGGACTGAATCACTAGCCTTACTTCTTTCTGCAAACAGCCCATTAGGGCCATTTATCATGCTAGAGATTTGCCTTTTATTTTGCTGAGTTCATTGTAATAGATCACATTCATTGTCCCTTTGGGGGTATTTTCAGTACTTGAATAGTAGATTCGAGTTTTTCAGAGTATTTGTTTCATCTGCTAGCTTTTCTCTCTTTGTAGCTTTCTTTTTCCTTGACTTGCTCCTTTTGAGTTGCTTTGAGAAGTTTTTCTTAGGCCTAAATTTGAGGCAAGTTTGATAGAAATTATGTAGCTCCTTATATTGGCAAAGGAGCTTGATATGGTTTAACTTTGTATAGAAGTTAGAACCAGCTATTGTACATGTAATATTTCAGTTCAGAATTTGAACTGGGGGAAGGGAAGAAAAGTATGTGATTTTTACCTTTTTTAACAAATGTGAAAGTCAGTTTTAGAAATTTCATGGTAGTGAAATGTTTGGCATTTGTTACATGTATAGAGAGAAGACTAATAATCTATATTTATAACTAAATCATTGAGACAGAAAAAGAATCCCATTGACTCTCCATCTTTACAGTTCCCTTTTTGACTGTTTCCTCTTCAGCTATGGCTTCTGAAATCAGTGATTTGTTCTTGTTCCAACTTTTGTTAGTGCCGCTACTTTCCCCTTCTCCTATTTCCCCTTCATTTTGGAAATAAGTTTCTGTATATGTTGTAATTTTAGTTTGTTTTTTTAATTAACCCTCTGTCACCCTACTGCCCCCACCCCCCATGGTAAATACTGTAATAACCATTGACTTTTCAGATTTTAAAAATTAACTCTTTTTTTCAGTTTAAAGGAGAAAAATATTTGGAGCTAGTAGAGACAAAGTGAGAGTCTTGAACCTTGGTGAGCTCTAAAATAACTAGCTGAGATTATATTGATGAAAGAGAATTATCAGTACATAGAGATGGAACTGCTGACCAGTAAACTACAGATTTGTTATAAACATTGTTCCCAAACCATTACCAACATTGTACTATCTGAGAACTTAAGTGATAAAGTACTTCTTGATAAATTCATGGATCATTTAAGATGTTGAGTTTTTGGATTTTTTTCAAATAAGGAAATAACATTCATGTAAAAAACTGGAGAAAGAAACATGAAATGTTATTGTTGATAGCAATACCTTTTTTTTTTTAATTTTAAAGTTTTTAAAAGGTCTGTGACCTGTAGCATTAATTATTAGAGTGCCCTCTCTTCCTTCTCCCCTCTCTGTCTCTTCTTCCTCTCTTCTTCCTCTCATTTTTTTTTTCATTTGTTTTGCATTTGGGTGCAGTATTATTACCAACATTGTACTATCTGAGAACTTAAGTGATAAAGTACTTCTTGATAAATTCATGGATCATTTAAGATGTTGAGTTTTTGGATTTTTTTCAAATAAGGAAATAACATTCATGTAAAAAACTGGAGAAAGAAACATGAAATGTTATTGTTGATAGCAATACCTTTTTTTTTAATTTTAAAGATTTTAAAAGGTCTGTGACCTGTAGCATTAATTATTAGAGTGCCCTCTCTTCCTTCTCCCCGCTCTGTCTCTTCTTCCTCTCTTCTTCCTCTCATTTTTTTTTTCATTTGTTTTGCATTTGGATGCAGTATTGTCCCTTCTGGCATGCCAAGAGGCACATAAAAGAGAAACATCTGTGATTTGGTTCTGGAACATGGGAATGTTCCTACCATTCTCCTGATTAAACTCATAACTACTTGCCATTGTGTAATAGTACAAATCATGAATAAAAATGATTTTGATGTTTTGGAGTACATTGGGCGGGGAACTAATACCATTTTATTTCCTATCATTCCCATCATCTGTGTATAAGATATAGGTATAAGGATAGAAATGACTGTTCTTTATTGATAGCACAGGAAGGTTTTTTTTAAAAAAGATAAAATAGTTTATGAGACTTTTATCTAGAGCACTTAATGGTCTCTGTTTTTCATTTGATTTTTGATTTCATATTTCTCTGGATTATATTGGCCTTCTATAGTTACTATTAAATTACAGAAACAAGCCAGTTTACTTCTGGTGGAAAGCTACATTGCCTTTGAATTCCAGATTTGAACATTCTTTGTAAATAGTCTGGATGGAGTATGGTGAAGAAGATGCTACCAATGAAAACCAACTCGATAAGACTGTGATCATCATGACCACTCTAGATGGCACTTCCCTATATAAGTCGTAAAGACCATATTCATTGAATACAGTGCCAATGCCCCATTTTTATTCCTATGACTCAACAAAGGTCTTTTCAATTTATAGGAGCAGTTTGGGATTTGTATTTTACAACTTTTGATGGTTACCTGCATGTCCATTGCTGGCAACGGACTTTGTCATTAAAACCTGACTCCTAGGTTAAGGGAGCTACACTGTGGTTTATTCTTTACTTGCTTGGATAAACTAACTTGTAATAGAAATATACTTTGGTTAATTCTGAAATGTGTCATTTTTAAACAGAATAATCTTAAAAGCAATATGGAATTGTGATTTATTAGTTAATTATAAATTAAAATGTTTAGATCTTATTGAAAGAAAAATTATATCTGAATCAAGGTTCATGTTTTCTAAATACTGCCTTTTGTTCTCACCCATTTTGTCATCACTTTAGAAAGAAAATTCCCATTGAAATCTAAAAGTTACTTTAGTCTTCATGTTACTAGGATAGTATTACTACTGTACTTATTTATTCTATTTTAGACTCTAGCATTCTTAAAGTTTCCTTCTCCTTTTGATCCTTTTGCTGCTTTGGAGGACAGTTTAACTGGGACACCATGAAAATACTGAGTATTTCATCCTACCTAGAATAGTAAACAAGTAGAGTAATTGTGATAGCATCAGAAACCAAGACTAAGACAACTCTGTCTTCATGTGTTGACTGCCTGGCACACAATATAAATTCTCTTTCCTTCCATATATAAATATGAAGCTGCTTATCTAGTTACCACCTGTCCTAAATGAACATGTGCCTTTAGTAAGCAATTTAAAACCTATGAGTATTTTTTTTAGGGCTCACATAAGCACATTGGTTTAAATATACTGTATTCTAACCAGAATAATATTAGATCTGATCAAGCAGTAGTTATAGTTAGAAAAAAGTGAGTGCTTAAAGAATTTGTATCATTTTTTTAATCTAATAATTTTAAAATATACCGAGGTCCATATCTAGTGAAATGTCAAAAAATCAATTCTAGCATATAGTCAAAATTCAGATTAGTACTCAATTTGGGGATTTTTAATGGTGGAATTTCATAGTAATATTAAAAAAAAGATTGCCTTCCTTGTCTGTTGCTCCCACAACAGATATTTAAACAATTAAAAAATCATTTTTCCACAGTACATGTGTCTAAGAAAGGAACAAAAACACACACATACGATTTTTTTCCTCAACTCATTTATTGACCACTTGGGCAAAGACAGTGTGGTAGATACTGTGGGAAATACAAAGGAGAACCAAGCACTGGCCTGGCCTTGAGAGAACTGAAGTCTCTCATTCACCATTCTAGAAAGTCGCCAAATGAGAGGGAGAAAGAAATGTATGAAAATTTGTCAAGCAAATTTTCATTCTGTATTAAGAAAAGCAGAGAATTACATATTTGGAATTGAACATTTTTTGTTACTTTTTTTTTTGGTCTTGGTAAATAGAAATGTAATTAAGTGAAAGCAGCTTTTCTGTTTTGTCTTCAAATTTTATATTCTATTTTTAATTTAATCCCATTCAATTATTTAATTGTTTCATTGACATTAACTGCTGTATTTGATGACTTTGTTCAATAATTTTGTTCTTTCAGGGCTAGAAATAAACTTTTCTATGTTTATTTTTCCCTTTCCTAAACTTCTTTAAATTAGAATATGTACCTTAAAAGAATAAGTGAATAGGTTTTCAAGAACATTCTAATATTTTTAAAGATAAATGTTTTTTCAAACATGTCATGGCACCATTTTTAATGTATTACAAAGTCCAAATGAGAAAGCCTTCTAGAATTATGGGTAGTAAGCATGAGCCTTCCCTCTTCTAAACCAGGTTCCGAATAAATTTCTTAGAAATGTTCTGGCTATCAGACCCAGTTAAAACACTTCTGATCCATTAGATACCTCCAGTAACTTGGCCTGAAATCCTAATGCTTACCTGACTGAAGTAATAAGAATCATACCAGCATTTCTGTGTTAAATGCACCAAGAGAACTTTGAAAGTACAATACTTTAAGATAGCACTTCATTATAGGCTTTGAAGTAGGAATGTTCGATACCCTGACATGGAGAACAGCTTCAGTATGGAGAGTTCACTATCAAAAACCAAAATTAGCTGTAACCGGTTTGGCTCAGTGGATAGAGCGTCAGCCTGCGGACTGAAGGGTCCCAGGTTCGATTCCGGTCAAGGGCATGTACCTTGGTTGCAGGCACATCCTGAGTGGGGGGTGTTCAGGAGGCAGCTGATCGATGCTTCTCTCTCATCGATGTTTCTAACTCTCCCTCTCCCTTCCTCTCTGCGAAAAATCAATAAAATTATTTTTTTTAAAAAATAATAATCCACCCTGGCTGGTGTGGCTCACTTGTTTGGGTGCTGCCCAGTGCACCAAAAGGTTCCCGGTTTGATTCCTGGTCAGGTTACCACTCGATCCCTGGTCGGAGGCGTGCAGGAGGCAGCCAATCGATGTTTCACTCTCATATCAGTGTTTCTCTTTTTCCCTCTCCCTCTCTAAAAAGCAATAAAAAAAAATTGTTTTAATCCTTTTAAAAAATTAATACTAATCTTAAAGGACTTGTAATAAACTGTTAGTTCCACGCTTTAAACTTCCCCACTGCCAAGTCCTCCACAGAAGCACCTATTTTTAAATTTGAGCTGTTTTTAGCATGCATTAATCTTCACCTTTAAAAAAAATTTTTTTTATTGATTTCAGAAAGGGAGAGAAACATAAATAAGAGAAAATCGCCTGCAACCAAAGACATGTACCCTGACTGGGAATCAAACCCTGATCTATCACTAAGTTTTCCCAAAATCATAACAAAATTACAAAAGCACTCTGAAACTATTTTCTAAACAGTCTCAAATAGTGCACCTCCTCCTTTCCTGGAACTTGACTGGGGCTGTAGGCTGGGCTGCTGCTCTCCAGGCCTTTTGCCCCTCTGGCATCTGAAACTCAGTTTCACTTTTCTCCTGAGTTAAAGCCTTTGTTTCCTGACTGCCATATCTAATTGCTTGGTTTGTTTCCTTATTTTGGAGAAGTACTTCTTTTACTAGCTTTCTCAGAGAGGATACATATCTTACCTATATGTATCCTCTCTGAGAAAGCTAGTTTCATATTTAAGGATACTACAGGATTTTAGGTTGTAAATCATCTTCCTTGAGAATTTTGAAGTCACTACTATTTTTTTTTAATGAGAGGACTTTTTTAAAAAATATATTTTATTGATTTTTTACAGAGAGGAAGGGAGAGGGATAGAGTTAGAAACATCCATGAGAGAGAAGCATCAATCAGCTGCCTCCTGCACACCCCCTACTGAGGATGTGCCTGCAACCAAGGTACATGCCCTTGACCAGAATCGAACCTGGGACCCTTCAGTCCCCTGGCCAACGCTCTATCCAGTGAGCCAAACCAGCCAGGGCAAAGTCACTACTTCTTTTAACCTGCTATTTCTAATAACATCTTTGTATGTAACCCATTTTTCTGCTTCAGGAGATTTTGTTCTAAGTTTTTACCATGAAGTGCCTTGGTGATGGTGCATATGTTTTAATTAGCTTTGGGCATTTGGTAGGCTGTCGTAGTCACAGACTCATTTCCTTCAGTCTGGGCAATTCTTGTATTATTTAATAACCACACTCTTCCCGCCCCCCTAATATTTCTTTCTGGAATTGCAGCATTAATCATCTGTCTTTCTTATCTTCTCTCCTGCTTACCATCTCTTTGCCTTTTGTTTTTAACTTTCTGAGAGAATTTTCTTGATTTGACCTCTGATCCTTTTTTCGAACGTATGTCAGGCATCACATTTTTAATTTTCAAAAGCTCATTCTTGTTTTCTGATCTCCCTTTTTACAGCCTTCTGTT